TTGCAAGGTAGGCAGAGCGAGTACCTTCAAAAAATGGAAATAAAAAATTGTTACTTTCTCAAATTCTGTGTTGATATTCGCAACTGCGTTTATATATCTCACAGATTTTATCACGAATTGTTTTTCAGTCATAGACTATATAAGTTATACTAAATACCATGAAAAGCTGAGTTGGGATGAAATGGTGCCCCGGTAGCGTAACTGGTAGCGCACTTGCCCGGAAAGCGAGAGGTGCGGGTTCTAGTCCCGCCTGGGGCGAAAGTTTTGTTCACAACCCAGCATTCTTGTGAAACTATCATTGTTTTGGAAACACGTGAACTGCGATTGAGACACTAACTTTTGAAGAAGTTTTGATTTCCGTACCCGGCTGGATAAAGTTGTATTATTTTCTCACGATACGGCGCTTATCTCGGTCGGATAGTAATCAGGGTTCCTCCCAGTATCATATCCTGTAGCATCCTTGAGAAATTTGTTCGTTATGAAGTCACCCCGACAAATTCCAGCGTGAGCTGACACTTCGACAATTCCTGCGTCTCTTTTGCTAGGATTTTCCCTTTTACGGAAGTCTGACAGCGGTTTTGCCTTTGCTATACCTAAGGACCTTGAGGGATAATAATTTCAAAATTTGATTGGAAAAAATAAAGTGCAGCGGAGAAACATGTGGTGGAACTATGATTTTGCGCCATAGGCAGAGCGAGTATTTCAGAAAATAACAATAAAAATTGTTGTTCTCAAACTTTCGCAATATCTGTGTTGGTATTTAGAACCATGTTTATATGTATCACAATTCCTCACAAGAGCCTTTTTCGAAAACATCTTTAGATGCAAGATTTTGGGAAATTTGTAGGTGGAAGTATCATTGCGGCGCAGTGTAAGTAGTGCCATCTGCGTTTACCAGCGAAAGAACAGTAGAGAGGAAAACTCATAGAACTGCCGTCGCGATGTTGCCTGGCGACGTAATGAAAGGCGTATCCCCAGGGGACTTTCACGATCGCACGATGAGGTATCCTTATTGAGTAATGAAAGTAGTAGGTTTCACAAGAGTCTGTCATGGGTAAAAATTCCCGGCTTTAATGGAAGCATCGCACCTGGATTTAACAAACAGAATGCAGGCCAAATTGGAAGGGTTAGTATGTTGGCTCGGAAGTGGAGCCACGGTGCAAGATGAAGTAAAGAACAATTCCGACCAACGTTGCACGGTTCTGAACTTCACGCGGGAAAACCTCATCGAATTCTTGCTCAGAGTTCCCTTTACTCGCACAGCAAGTGCTGCAAAGGACAAGTAAAACGAAGCCCCTACACAAAATACAGTCATCACTTCGGATAAAATCGCCATCTTAACGGCCTTATGGAAAACCGAGACTCTACAGTAAAGCATCGAGAAAGTGCCCGCTCTGTTGTTCATGCTCACGCTATAACTAATGCTGGTAGGTGAGAGTTTAACAAATCCGCAGGAGTCTCTCTTCTCTTCTAGCTCTCTTCGAGCTGAATGTCATCGAAAGCTGCACGAGCCGCAGGCAATTACCGAAATACCCGGCCAAATTAGAAGTCGACGTTTAGAGAGACGATAGGAAAATCGTAAAAAAACGAAGAGGAGCATTGAAGCTAAGCAACGCAGGATGAGTATGCATGCATCGCCGCATGTGACGCCGAAAGTGCGGTGTATTTCGCACGATAACTTAAGGAATCTTGCGCGGAAAAATCATGATTCTATTTCAGCCATAAATCACTGGCTTGAGACTCATTATCCACGATAAGAATGAAAAGAACAGAAATATTGCTTTTGTTTTGAAAAAAATTCGAAAAATCGACGCGTTCAAGTGCCCACGGACGTCTTTCACAAATGCTGGCGACGGGGATGCTTCCACTTGGTTCTTGGAGTGCCTTCACTAGAAACTCTTTCTGGCCTTCTGCTTTATTGCATTCACATCTTACACTTCTACTCCATCCTATTCTATCGATCGATTTGTCTCTACTCTCCGAAATCGCGCGCTTTAACCCGATTCTTTCATTGCGTCGCCTGATACGTAGCCGGCCAAAGGCCAACTTCTTTCCATGCCTCGCCTTTGGCTCCGCCCGAATTACCTTCGATTGTCCATAGAGTGTAGTTTTTGTACGTTTGTTTCTCTTCGGAAACCGAATCTTCATGCGTGAAACTTTGTGTGCTGTTTCCAGTGATCACAACTGACACATTCATGTCAAGAAAGAATGCAAGAATTTTCCGCGAAGGATTCCTTTAAGTTGCCGATGTCCGGAAACTCGAGAAAAAATCCCAAAGTCGGTCGGCTTGTTACACTGAGTGACGAGTGTCTTCTGGAGTTGTTTGGAAACAGTCTCTGGTGCAATGCACTAACTGACACAGCTTTTCCACAGTTATCAGAACACAATAGCCATTCCTCAATAGCTCCTCAAAAAGAAGAGAAATTATGGAAAAAGGAGATTTCGTGATCTGGGTGACAACCGCCTTCAGAAGCCTTCAGATTTTGCATGAACATTTTGATTTACCGTCTGTAGCGCCCTTAACCCGACCACTACCTTGCGGATTTTATCCGCAAGGTTCTTGGACTCGTTCTTGCACACACTTTGACGTGTTGAATCCTACTGCAAATGCCCATGAAGCGTTCGGATCGCCGCGCAGCTCGCTGCACAGTTTGCTGCATGCCAGACTGGACGAGCCAATGGACCGTCGCCTGGACATAAACAAATTCACCTTTCGGGTGTTTTAAATTAGAAAAATGAACTTGAAAAAAAATTGAAGAATGCGCAACAAGGACTTTTCCGACAACCGATTTCTGAGAAGTTCTGAGGAGTTCAACACGCTTTGACGGGTTGAATTCTACTGCAGTACCCGCAAAGCCCTTGTCACGTCCGGATCGCCGCGTATCCTGTCGCGCAACTTGCCGCGTGCCAGCTCGGACGAGTCCAAAAGACCCGCACCCGGTGCAGCTGGTGTTTCACAAAGGAACCAATGATCTGAGATTCTCCTCTTCAAAAGAGGAGTTCACGGAAATATATAGGTATAGAAGAGGGAAGAGGAATTGTCGCGTAACACGAAGATCGCTCCAACAGAACCCTGGGCGCGCCGGCGCCTGCGAAGTCCTGCAGACATGACCCACTACGATCTATCCGTGATCGTGCGGCAACGCACGGGCCGTTCGCAACGGCACCATCACGGCCAGTCCCGGTGTTCCCCGTCTGTCGTCAGGTTCTGCCCCTCGTCGTCGGTTCTGCAGGCTCGCAGGGCGTTAGCCCTTAGAACTCTATTCTGGATGCTTATTCCTAGTTCAACTATTCGTGGTCGATCGGCGGGTCGAGGGAAGCGACCGTGAGTTAGTCTCATGCGTTACTAACATCATTTGTATTAATACTTGATTCATGGGAAAATAAGAGTAGTTCAACATCATAAAAACTTATAAGTCCTTGTGCTAGTGTTAAGTAGCAATAAGGGTTAAACCCTACACACTACCTACTTAATAGTTAGGTGTATTAAAGTCGGTTCTGTGGTTGCCAAGGTCAGTTAGCTGGCCTTTAGGGTAGTTAGTTCATTCCTTACTTAGTGGTCAGCGCGCGGTCACTAGGAGTTGACTGTTTGCACTATTGTCCCTCGTAATTCATCCGGGTTTTCCTCACAAGTGGCACTCTAGCCCTGTCCTGGACCCACCGACTCGCAACATGGTGCATCGGCCGGGAACTGTCGCATGCGGCTGGAGGACAGGAAAGGAAGAGGAACAGGTCACAGTTGGGCTATTCAGCGGTGTACAAGACACCAATGGCACTAACGAAAGAAGGCACATTGTGGAGGCTATGCGAGCCTTCGAGGAGTGGGAGAACTGCGGAGTTCTGCAACAAAGCGATAGAAATAGAGTGGTCATAGAGCTCCGAGGAGATGACTCGATCATGATTTTCGAAAGTGCTGTGCTGAGTGCTTTATACTTCACATCTTTTTGTGCGAGTGGCAGACCCATGGAAGGAGTGAAGCAAGAAATATGGAGCAATCAGTGCGAATACCTTCGTAATAAGGTGACCGATTACAGCAACATGAGATATCTGCACCGTTGCCTGGGTACCCTCATCTCAGCTCCAATACATCAAAACACGACGTTGTTGGAAGACTACATGCCCTCAACCAGCAGTTTGCCACCCTAGTCCGTAGAGGTGCTTTGCTACACAACACTTATCGCTTGTTCCACGTGGCGATGGAATATTGGTCTCGATACAAGTACAGACGCGATGTCGGTGAAGTGGCACCAAGGATGGGGAGCTTACCACCAAATGTCCTGTATGGCGATCAGAGAGATGGTGGCTTTGGCTGTGGCCTAGATTACAGGAGCCGTCAGTGTTATGGAGTGCAGCAAAGCCCCCCACATCGCTTTCAGCCCAAGCAAACCAGAGTCTCCGAAGGCATGAAAGCTCGTGGTGCTTCCGATTTAGCTCAGAGCATGTTGAGTGGCACTCAAGGTTTAGCTGCTCGAGAGGAAACCCTAAGACTACTTGCGGCTGAGATACATCACGAAGTGAGCCTCACGGCCAAATTGCCAGAAGAAATAGCCGCTGCCCACCGCCAGTATGAACTGGAGTTCAAGGAATGGGTGGACAAGCTGGTTTTTCCACGTCGTAGTGTGAGCCAGTAT